TGAACACAACCCATAAATCCGATAGCCGCAAATCATGAGGTGTGCACGATTAAATTAAAGGCTTAGCTTTGAGTCGTAAGGTTCTGCAGCATTAATGGTTTGCAAAACGAGCCTTGTCGGAATTGCAACATCTGCGCCTTTCATACACCGAGTATGCTAAACCGCGCAGCTCAGTCTAACTCACTTTGAGACGTCATCGAGCTAAGAACTGTGTTGTGGCGCGGAATGAATAATCGTCGTTTACGATACTTTCCCATAAGGGATTTAATCGGCTCATATGTGCCCGAACGTGCAATACATCTTCCAGTTTAAGAAAAAGTCCGCTGGTTTGCGTCAAAGCCCAGTCGCAGTGAAAGGGCCAACCGTGAAAACCAGCGCAGATGGCCGAACTCAGATTAAATTTTTACAGGGTGTCTTACCGATACCGATGGTGGAGTATAAACATTTGAAACTCGATTTAGCATCATGTGCCTTTGCTTTTGCAACTTCGCCTCGATATGTATGTATAATATCCTTATTAGGTGAATGTAGATCATTGAGTGCTGATGTGTGCTGAAAAAACTTGAAGGGTTGGTTTAGCTCTGACAAAGAAGTAGGAGATTTTCATCTTAATCTCGTTCTCTCTATATCTTATATAAGATTTTGAATTATTTCCTAATAGTGTTCAGTGCTAAATGTTTTCAGTTTGAACATCTCGATTCGAATAAAGGTTAAGAGTTCCTCATAACTCAGCTAATCTCATTATAGCTCTCGATTACTTTGAATTAAATCATTTAAATTCTTTATTTTTTACTTATGTGGTCGATTGATGATTAACTCAAATCCATACTGTAAATATAGAAAGGGCAAAGTGATATGAATGAGTTCCAGCTTTATCACTACCTCGAGGCTTTGAAAACCGACGAGAATGGATGGCGTAAATCGACCGACAACATCGTTGCGAACAATTTAAGGTGAATACATAGTTTTAAACTTTATATATCTCATCCGATGAACCACCAATTCCAATGTAATGAATAAATTAGCTGAAATAAAGGCGCACAACTGCGTAAAACTATTCAGACTTTTAGGAAAAAGATTCGATATTCTCATAAGAGTTGGTTTGCGAAACTACGCATCTCTTTTTGTATCAAGCCAAGCTTCTCCTTCTGAATACCTCGCCTTTTCAGCACTGATGAAGAGCATTTTCTTCTTCTGCAAGTGATCGAAGACTATCTCTCTCGACGCTATGCTCAAGCTGATGCTGATAGTGTTATGTGCATCCGCAATCTGCTTTCGCATTGGATTCAGGTAATTTTCATTTCCTATTTTCTTTAAAGGACTAACCTGCTGGTATTCTGATCTTATGTTCCTTTTCAGAAGCTCTCCACCCATCCTGATCAACCGGGTTTCTTGGTGAACAAGATGGCACATATCTTCTCATTGGTATTTGCTGCAGATTTTCCCGATAGATGGCCCACTTTTATGGATGATATGTGAGTTTGTGCATCACTTATTATGTCTCTTCATTCATGTTTTTTAAGCCTCCAATTTTTGAAGTATCTGCATTTTTATTCTTTCAATCAATACTACCTTTTTTTAAAGTTCGATTTATTTCAGATTTCTTTCTCGAGGAATGGATAATGTCCCATTAGTCATATTTTATTTGAAGACGCTTCTGGCAATCGACTCAGAAGTAGTAGATCGAGATATACAGAGAACTAAAACAGTAAGTATTGGACGAATACATGTGACTCTGTCAAGCCGACGAAGCTTAGTTTCTTTTGCAGGTTTTCGATCGCAATACTAAGATCAAGGACTTCATGCGTGATTTATGTATTCCACAAATTGTACAGAGTTGGTGGACAATCTTGGTAAGTGCTCAAATCTTGATCATATTCTTGAATTTACAAAACATTGTTACTGATTTTCTTCGGATATGGTCTCATACGAGATTGTTTTATCTTTTGTACTTTTTTGAAACGTTGCCATATTTATTCAGGAACGTTGCTCAGACGTGACCGCTCAGTGTCTTTGCCTTGATGCAGTTGCTGCATTTGTCGATTGGATTGACGTAGAACTTGTGGCCAACGATGTTTTTGTTCCATTAGTAATTGCTCGACTGGGAAACAAGGACATATCGGAGGTAGGAGGTTTGATTTGAGAAGCAAGCTGATTCGCATTGAAGTCTCATCATTCAAAGCATCTTTTGAATTCAAAGTATGTAGTTTTGCTTGGAGGCGCCATGGACTTAATAGAAGGGTGTACGTGGGGGTCAAAGGATATCAGATGGAAACCTTTCTTTTTCTGTGCTGGTGCTGTCAGAAGTGCTCTCTGAGCATGACTTTGTGTAACGGAGAAAGCATTTCTTTCTGAATTTTTTTATTGTGACTTTTACATATTATTAATCTAAATAACTAATGCTGTCGTGGAATTAGCAATAATGCTTCAATATTTT